GGACCAGTGTTTATCATCGCCTTCAAGAAATCCTTAGAATAATTTAGTTTAGCCTTTTCTGTCATTAAATGAATTTGGGCCAACTAAGGGGTTTTTTTTTTTTTTTTTTTAAAAGAGTCTCATTCAGTCACCCTGGGTATAGTGCCGTGGTATCATAGCTCACAGCAACCTCAAATTCCTAGGCTCAAACAATTCTCTTGTCTCAGACTCCCAAGTACCTGGGACTACAGGTGCCTGCCACAAGGCCTGGCTTTTTCTATTTTTAGTAGAGATGGGGGCTCACTCTTGCTCAGGCTGATCTTGAACTCCTGAGCTCAAGCCATCCACCTGCCTGGGCCTCTCAGAGTACTAGGATTACAGGCATGAGCCATCATGCCCAGCCCTAAGGAAGGTTTCATAATCACTTTTCCTAGACCTCCCTCTAATCCAGTCTACCTCTGACGTGTAGATCAAAAAGGAGTTTTGAGAGATGCTACAGAGATTCTATCTATTTCATAGCTTTTTTCTTTATGGATTTCTAAAACTTGTGATTAGCCTGAAATGCTACACCAGCGGCCTCCAAAGGTAATTCCAGAAGATACCACTTTAAGTCATGCTTATGGTTTGAGAATAGATCCAAAGTTCTGTTTCCTTAATAGGAGTTATAAGCATGGATATCAGAAGTTTGGAATCCAAGATGATGTGACAAGTGGAGCAGAGGAAGACATGGCAGCTTTCAGTCCAGCCAAATAGGGGAAGGGGAACAGCAGGGAAACATGGAGACAGGATGTTGGAGAGGAGATCTGAAAGAGCAGAGAAGTTAGAGCCAGCTTTTAGTCCAGGCTATATATACTTTAACTAGTATCTTCAACCCTCCTAATTTGACAGTTTTCAGAACCATCTGGGCACTCCACTGGGAAGTCATTCCCCATGCTAGGGAAATGGTAGGTTGAAGTTTATATGCTATGAGATATGAGCTAACATTATTTAGTGTTCACTAATGATTATAGATATTTTCTTTTCTTTCTTTCTTTCTTTCTTTTTTAAACAGATATTTTAAAGTGAGATAATTTTGTGCTTTATTTAGCCTTCCCAATTTGTTTGATTTTCCATTTAGTGATCAGGGATATGTGAGAATAGATATTTATGTACCTGCTTCTATCTCTATCCTCCAATTTTGAGGCCATATCGACATGCATTTAAAAGGGAGGTAAAGATTAAGAATGTGTTTTAACTTTAGTAATGTGGTCCTAACTTCAAATTTCTTTAGAAGATCTATACTTAACTGGGAAGCTAAGAAGTGGATAGCTTGAGCTCAGAAGTTCAAGACTAGCCTGAGCAAGAGCCAGACCCTGTCTCCAAGAAAAAATAGCTGGGTATTGTGGTGGGCACCCGTAGTCCCAGCTACTTGGGAGGCTGAGGTAAGAGAATTGAGCCCAAGAGTTTGAGGTTGCTGTGAGCTGTGAC